ATGTCTCAGTTTGCATACCCATTATGTCAACACTGAGTACTGTAGATATCTCCTATGCTCAAGATCAGGAGAAGAGTAATCAAATTTTTATTGATTCAAAAAAAAATTGAGTGAAAGAGATCTTGAGTTTAAATGCTGGAATGGGCTCATAAACAGGATTTGATTCCTGGCCTCTGCAAGAGGCACAACATCTGCACACAGATCACTCCTGTCATGTGCCTAATACAGCAACTTATCCAGCTGTGTTTGTGAGCTTTGCTGGAAGCAAGTTCTCGAATATGGTTGAGTATCTGAAGAATACAGATTTATCACCATGCCTGGAGTGAAGCCTGATATCCAACGGAAGACACCCCAGTTCCAGCAGCTTTTCCATCAGTTTTGGCCAGCTTTCCAACTGCAGCTTAGTTTAACATCATGTGCATTCTGTGGCTCAGCGGGAACGTCATAATCTTGAGAAAATTAAGCATTAGTGTTGGGATGGGTTGGAAAAAGTCTTTGCGGAATCAATTTTATCACATTAGCACATGGAGTTCGCCATGAAATTATATCCATCGCTTTCCAACCGAATCCCAGCAACACAGCACAGCACAGGGAGCAGCTGAAAGACACATACGATAGATCTTGGCTGCGTCATATTTTGAAGGCTGAGTGAACTTTTTACAGGACATCAGCTTGCTCCAGATGTCAATGGAATCTAATTTAATGTATTACACTGTAATTATTTTATAGAGTACAAGCTGTAACTTGAATTAAGTAGCTGACACTGGGCTATTCGTTCCTGACAGGGTGTATATCACCACTCTCTTCGAGCAGATAAAATTGCAAAGACTGACAAGGACCCTCCGTGATGGAGAATGATGGCCAAGCAATTGTCAGAAGATGGTTTGAGCTTAGAGTATGTACCCATCCCCCACCTGCGTGCATTCAGCAAGGTCTAACAATCAAATAGTACATCACATTGTGTCTACTCAATCATGATGATTTTTTTTTTAAAAAAATGCATCCATCTCTGCATCTTTAGTTTTAGGTTTTTTAAAAAGATGGATAGCAACCGTCTCTTATGTTTTGTGTAAGCTCTTTTTTGCTTGAGCCTTCAGACAGTTTGTGGAGGGAACTAACACTTACCCTTTAAACCAAGAAGGATCAGATCAAACAACAGCCAATTTTGTTTATCTCTCAAGGACCAGCCCAGAAATATAAATGTCATTTGGCACGCCCTTTCGAGTTCCATGTTTGAAGGGATATTTTGGAAGCTTGCTCTGAGTCCAACACCATCCAGCTGAATTCTCAGCAGTAATATCGCGATATGTGGCCGACAAACATTTCTGCAGCATGGCGGATAATTAAAAATGTTGATAGACCATCTGGCCACTGGGCCCTTCTGGTTAGACAGAGATGGGCTAGGGCTAAGCAGAAGGACCAAAACCAGCCAGTCCTTCTTCTTGAAAGTGACTTGTGTTGTTCCTAGACCAATGTTTCTCAACCTTGGCAATTTTAAGGTGCCCATTATTTAATTAGGGCAATTGCTGAAACCCTGACAGCACGGACTTCAACTCCCAGAATTCCCCAGCCAGCCCAACTGTGGGGAATTGCCTTACCCTGCTCACAAAACCCAAGCGACACCAGGAAGTTGACCAAATGAAAATCAAAACATGTGTGTGCTACCCATAATTGGGTAGACCAGGTTGATGTCAACAGAAAGCGAGGAGAGAGCAGTGTGGCAGCTTGGGAATTGAAAGTGCATTCCATAAATAGTTTTCAAAGATAGTAACAAGGTGACTGAAGTTTCTGCCACGCAAAATTCTAACTGGAGAACTTGATTGATGATTCTTGGCTATGGATGTGTTTTATTGGAGAATATGAATTATGATACACCCAGAGAGTGGGAGAAAACCAGGCTCAAGGGTGACAATGAATTATGTGTCTCAGAGTTGGCTATACCCAGTTCCAGACATGTTAACTCCCAATAAATCCCTTTTAAGTTTTGGAAGTTTGGCTCGAGACTCATCATTTAATTGGGGTGACTGCCAGAATCCTGACAGTTGCCCTGATAGACCAGTCCTTCCGGAGAAAAAACACTTTATTCCCTCCCCTGGTATAGTTGACAAAGCGAGGAGCACCCATGGCTTAGAGTTTTATACATCTACCTAATATGTAAGTAGCCCAGGTTTGAATCCCACAATATTATCAATATAATCAACCACAATAATACACAGGGAAACACTCGATACAAACTCAAGGTAAACCACTCCAAACTTGATTGCAGAAAATACAACTTCAATAACAGAGGGGTCAATGACTGGAATGCTCTACCCGACTCTGTGATTACAGACTCAACCCCTCACAGTTTCATTTTCAAACTGTCTACCATGGACCTCAACCCATTCCTAAGAGGTCCTTAAAGGGGGCGTGCATAAGCGCACCAGCGTGCCTACTGTCCCTGTCTTACTGTCCCCATTTATCTGTACTTACTTCCTTTGTTCTTGTTTATGTTCATACCTATAGTTGTTATTTTGTACATGTTTGACAAATAAAATAAAATAAAATAGATCTATACTAGTCTCCCTTTATTTCTTTGTCAGTAAAACACAAGCTTAACACAAAAATAGTTTTTTGCAAAAGCGACCACCTGCGAAGGCTCCTGAATTGGGGCTGAAAGGCAAAAATGGAAGCAGTATGCTCTAGCCCATAATTGGGTAGACCAGGTTGCTCTGATAGACCGGTCCCACTGGGGGAAAAAACCCAGCAAATCAAAGCAATTAATCTTCAAATCGATGTCTGGGTTATTGGGATACTTCATACCGGCTGGAGATTATGGTATGGAAACCGAAATCCAATGAATTCGGAGATCACAGAATTGGGCAACGAACTACATGTGTCCCCTGAATACGTGAAATTTCCACTTCTTAGTAATACAAGCATTATATGCATTGCTTTGCAGTAATAAATTTATCCTTCTAATCCTATTAGAGTCAACAGGCACACTCTATGGAGAACGCATTATCAAAACCCACAGAAACACGGAATGAAAGGAATGAGTGTGTGGTTGTGTGTATGGAAAACAGAGTTCCCTGCAAAAGCCGCTTTTCAAGAGAAATAGATTTACGAGTATCCAAATAAGCCACAGCACCAAAGGGTACCTTCTTCCCTACTTTGCATTTTAAAGCCATGCTCTTGTCAAACATTCCCTGTGCAGAAACCAGAGGAAAGAAATAAAATTACCCTCTTAGAAAGAGCATTTTACAATTCATCGTTGCGGCTAAACCCGATGCATCTCTGAGAAGCATGTAAGCGTATTAGCTTTTTGAACACTACATAACAAAGCCCTTATTTATTTTGCACCTTTCAGACGTGTGGGATAAACTCAACATTTCTCTCCATTCTCCCCATCTCTATTTTTAATGCGCTACAAAAAAGTTAGTTGCGATGAGTTTTTATAACATCCTTCTAATATAGGTGATGGGCAACCGAAGGAGCTTTAATCCACGTAATATATTAAAGAGATTGCTTTTTAACTAGGGGTTTTTAATTGGGGTCTTATTTGCCATTATGTGTTAAAGAGAAGAACCTGGAAGACTGAACAGGGATTATTTGTATAGTGATGCCCAAGAGTTTAATAACCAGTTCAGATATTTGCAGAGACGGTAGCAAAATTAATCCTAACCCCATTTGATGAAAATAGGAATGAAGGCCTTGATTTCTTACTAGGAAGATGATTTTACAATTGGGATGAAATCTCTAACCAAAAGAAAATGATTATGGATCAATGAAAGACCACCTCCTTCAAATGCAGGAGGTCCCAAATGCAATTTCCAATTTCTCTGGGATTGAAGAAAACCCCTCTTCAAAACACTGGGGGGCTCCCTTGCCAATATTTTATCATGATAATAAGAGCAACCAGGTTATCAGCTGAGTCTATGCATTGGCTTAAGCCAGGGGTGGGCAAACTTTTTGCCTCGGGGGCCGCATTGACCTCGGCGGGAAGACGCTCCAGCCTGCAAGCTTTGCCTTTGCAAAGTTTAAGCCTGGAAGCCCCGGGAAAAAAGGGGGGATCAGCGGGGACTCACCTTCGGAGAGGTCGCACTCAAAGGTGATTTCGAACTCCCAGCCGAAGCCTTTGCAAATTTCTTTTCTTTCCTACCCCTAGATCGCTCCGCACTGTTTTGCAGCTTTGGGGGCCACGCGGCACAGGGCAATACGCCACGCCCAGCGATTTTTTTTCAGGGGCGGGCCGGATTGGACAGACCAATGGCAGCGATTTTTTTTCAGGAGCGGGCCGCATTGGACAGACCAACGGGCCGGATGTGGCCCGCGGGCCGTAGTTTGCCCACCCCTGGCTTAAGCCAAGGTTTGTCGGTAGCTTGTTGAGTAAACTACAATTGGCTGGTTTAACGCATGATGGCCAGGTTCACATAAAAAAAGGAATTGAACAAGAACCAAATGACACTAGGGCTAAACACGATGGGTGAATTAACCAAGTGCCCTATAGGCTTCCACACCTTTTGAACCCTTCTAGTTGTGGCTATTGTCAATTGCAGAGCTTCTATAAAATATGAAAATCCAAATTCATTGCCCACTTTTCACAAAGCTAAAGGTTACCTTTACCTTCACCTTACTATTCGTATCGAAATCTTTCCTTCACTGCTGTTTGTAATGGAAGATTTTTTTATGAGATCATAGCCTCAATTCAACTGACGATTTATTAGAACTTGACTACAAGAAGAGCAGAGCATCATCTGAGAAGACTCTCCTTCCTATAGGGACCAGCTGGATGCTCTTTGGGAGGCCTCAAAGGGCCTACTGCCTAGAAATTCAGAGTGTTAAAATCCAACCTGTGTGGAAGGCACCTCCATGCCTGGAAAATCCAACCTATGTTGAAGGCACCTCCATGCCTGGAAGATACCAGAAAATGTGTCAGAAAAGGCTTGGTGTAGTCTTTGCTTGTAACTGTAAGGAAGATCAACAAAATAGTATAGAACATGCCATTGGCTACTACTCACCACTGTCTATTGCCAAAAAAGATGCGGTGTAGACATTGTTCAAGACGGAAGGGGATTCGCGATCAAGCATGCCCTTGGTACGAATGGTTCCATTGGTAGGGTTAATTTCCAACCAGTCTAATGGATCTCTGTTGGTGGAGTATCTGCCAAAATGAACAGACAATAATCAATGATACCAATAGAAGAGAATCTTTGTGGCTCAGGGTTGAACCATGAGGTCCTTGGTGCTTTCTGAGCTTGGAGTTTTTCTTGCAGACGTTTCATTACCCAACTAGGGAACATCATCAGCGCTAGAAGGGAGTGGGGTTTGTGGGGCAGCGGAGGAGGAGGACTGTGGAATCCCTGGTGCTCTCTGAACTCAACTGTTTTCTTGCGGACATTTCATCACTCAACTAGGTAACATCATCAATGCTAGAAGCGGGTGGGGTTTGCAGAGAGGAGGAAGAAGAAAAGGACTGTGAGGTTCTCTCTAAGCTTGGTTTTTTTTCTTGTGGATGTTTCATTATCCAAGTATAGAACATCATCAGTGCTAGAAGAGAGTAGAGTTTGTGTAGTGGAGGAGGAGGACTGTGAGGTCCTTGATGATTTCTGGGCTTGGTTGTTTTCTTTGCAGACATTTCACAACCCAGGTAGGTAACACCATTACTTAACAATGACAGCAAAAAGACCATAAAATTGAGTACAACTCACTTAACAAGGTCCCAATTGGGGTCATAAGTTGATGATTACCCATAATATTTGTCTTTGTGTAAATAAATACAACTGCAATCTCAGTCCTTGAGAATACATGACAAAAACTACACATATTCTTTAAACCTATATCACCAAGCGACAAAGACACGAGAAAGTGAGAAACAGGAGAAAGGATGGGAAGGTATGATAAGAATATTTTTACTCCCTTGAAAGCAGCTCCTTCTTTTCATCCAGATTCTTAAATTTCCTTGTGTTTTTTAGACAAGCAATAGCCAACGGTGGCAGGGAATCTACACATCCATGTTGGGAGGGAAAAGATGGATGCTCCATTGGGTCTCAACTCAAATTTCTAAATGCTACCTTCCCACTCGAGATTCTGTGCTGTGCTCATTAGATCCGTGTTTCTCAACTCTGAAAACTCTTAAGATGTGTGGACTAGCTGGGGAATTCTGGGAGTTGAAGTCCATACATCTTAGACTTCCTAAGACTGAGGAACGCTACCATAGATCTTGACTCTTTGTTGAACAAAGGCAGATGCCTTGTCAGTGATGTCACAGAGATGTTTGTGACTGCAGAGACAAAGCATCGCATTCCCCAAAGCACCTCATTCACACCAAATGACAATGGTGCTATTGACACCATCAGGAATGATTAGAAAGGAACAAAGAACAAGCTGTTGTGATTAGCAAATGATACAGTCTATCAGCTCTGCCTAAGCCTGTTTTTCATAACCATCAAAGCCCAGATCCGCAGCAGCATCTTATGATCCATAGTGATGAATACACTGCACGACAACAACAGTGCGTCTAATTATTTCATGCCATTCCTTTATTCCTTTAAAAAGAATAATTCTGAAACAAAGATGCACATCAGTCTAGGAGACAAGGTAGCTGAACTCATTGCAAGGTGAAGAATATCCCATTATCCCTAACAATATGCTTGTGTGTGCGATACATGCATGTGTATGTACTCCACACGTACAAATACACACACACAGAGACACACACACACACCACTCAGGTTTTGTAGAACAATTGGGAAAGATTAACCAGTGTTTCTACATTCACAAATGGTACTACCTTGGAGAAATGGGCAGCTCTCGCCAATCTGTTCCAATTGTGCAGCGAAGATAAATTACACAACACGTAATTTGACACAGAGCATTATTTCTCTTTCCCCCCAAATTAAATCTTCTCTCAAATTTTACCCATTGTAAGTACATAATATCCCTTAACTAAGGCGATTGTTCCTTGCTCAGATTCTTTTAATATGCAAATATGAGTTTCGATTACCCGAAGAATAAAAATAAATATATATGAAAAATAAAATCAAAGCAACATAGGGTCCTGATTTAAAAGGTGTGTTTGGGAGTGATCCAAGCAGATTTTGCCCGCCCTGTTTGTAGACCACTCTACTTTCCAAATCTATATATTTATACCTTTCTGAAAACTAGGGTTAGTTCTCAGTTGAATATATCCAAATTGGCTTAAATCCACTAAAAACAATATTAAATTTCATGTGAAAGAGAACTGGGCAATTTAGAAGAACTAGAAGCTGAAAGACCTAACAAGATTTATACGTCCGCCACAATGGAAAGCAAAATGAATGTGTTAATTCCTAGCTCACCTCTTATTTTGTCTACAGGAATGTAGAATTACTGAGTTGGCAAGACGTATTTAGCCCATCAACCCAACTTGTATTCATTGAAATACCAGATACTGTAACATTCCAGACAGATACAGATAGTTCTCGACTTACAACTGCTCATCGAGGGACCATTAAAAGTTACAACTAGACAGACAGACAGACAGATGATAGATCTTACAGCAGTTCCAGACTCCTGGGGTTGTGTGATTGCTCTTTGTGACTTTCTGACCTTTTATTGTATACCTCTCAGAGTCCCATTCTGAGAGAGACGGGCAGTTCAAAACTGTGAAAAATAAATCAATAAATAAAACGTTCAAGGCCATTTTCTACTTTTGTTAACCATTCTTGCCTTACCTAGTGGTGTTACGTAGCTCTAAGCAGAGGTGGGCTGCTGCCGGTTCGGACCAGTTCTAGCGAAACCAGTATTTTCAATGATCAACTGGCCCACCCACCTGGCCCCGTCCTATCCTGTCTTACATTTCCTTCTTTTTGCAGCTGAGCTGATTCGTGCAGCACAGTGAATTACCGCGCCTCAGCTGTTCTACTTACCAGAGAAGGCTAGAAGGTGAGCTGGAGAGGTTCAAATGGGTGTTTATTGAATGCTGCCACATGCACGCATTCACAGAACTGGTTGTGAAACCACCATTTGATTTGATTCAACATTTCTCTCCACCCCCCTCATCGCCAGGTCTCAAAAACCTTTTGATGCAGAAGGGGACTCTCTCTTCCATTTATCTACCTGAGGCCGAGCTTGTAAATGCAGATCAGTTTCAAAATCCAAGTGGAATCCAAGTGCCTTCAAATAAAAACTACATTTTGGGCATGTTCCCTTTTTTTATCCTCTTGTTTTTTGGGGGTGG